TAATACCACAAAGTCATGCATTAAAATTACAATTAAATACACCAATCCCACAACCTACAGTATCACCACAAGGTATTCAACCAATACCAAGAGTGCCACAAGGAGGAGCTGTTCCTCCACAACCAGGATTTCATCAACCACAATTTCGATATCCACAACAGTTTGTTGGTCAATTTAGAGCACCATTTAATGGTAATATAAATCAACGAGTTCCATTAGGAAATTATCTTAAATTTGCACCTGTACATACTGTGTTACCACCACAAAGAGTTGGAGTTACTCCTAATGGACAACCTCCTTCGGGTATGCAAAGATGTCAATTTAGACCTATGTTTAATCCTGTACAAGTTGATGGAAGGTTTATGCAATATCCATTACAAGGACCACCACCACCTTCAATGTTTCAAAGTAGACCTGTTGTTCGACCTCAGGTTAAATCAGCTGTGAGACATGATATTCCAGCAGAAACACAAGCAAAGCTTCAATCAATGAAAGCAGCTTCAATAGCAAAACAAGTAATGCCAGTACGAGTTATTGAAAAAAAGGAAAAAAAGGTAAAAGAAGAAAAAGAGGAAGTTATTCCAACAAGAAAATATTCATTTAGAGATAGAAAAAAATCAGCTAAAATTGTTGAAGAAGAGCAACTAGACGAATATGAATCTGATTCTGAAAAGAAAAAATCTACAACAATTAAAAAGTTTCTTAAAGAACCAACAACAGAGAAAGTTGTTGAGAAAATACTATCTATGAAAGGATCAGATGATTTAGATGAAGCTGAATTTATGGTAAAGTATAAGAACAGAAGTTACAGGGATGTTGAATGGGTGAAAGGAAAAGACTTATCAGAAGTTATTCAACCAACTCGACTCAAACGGTTTGCTTCTAAGTATCACTATAATGAAGAGGATGATATTTTTCCACCTGAATATACACTTGTTGAAAGAATTTTATTTGAAAAAGAAATTAATGGAGAAGAATATTGTTTAGTGAAATGGGGAGGAGGATTATCTTATTTAGAAGCAACATGGGAGAAGAAATCAGAAATTAAGGATCAAGACAAATTAGATGAATATAAAAAGTTTCATATTCCACCAGACCCATCTACTGTTGAACCACCACTACCTGATAGACTATGGCAAGTACAAGAACACCCTTATAGGCATGATAATACATTACGTTCTTATCAAATGGAAGGATTAAATTGGTTAGTATTTAATTGGTGTAGAGGAAAAGGATGTATTTTAGCAGATGAAATGGGTTTAGGAAAAACTGTACAAGTAGTGGCTTTCTTTGAACATTTGAGATCATTTCAAAAATTACCAGGACCATTTTTAGTAGTTACTCCATTGTCTACACTAGAACATTGGAGAAGAGAAATTAATGAATGGACTGATATGAATGTTGTTGTGTATTTAGGGACTAAAGAAAATCGACAATTAATTCAACACTATGAATGGTTTTACTTAAATAAAGATGAGAAAGAAATATCTAAACAAATTAAATTCCATGCACTAATTACAACATATGAAATGATTATGAGTGACTATGAAATATTATCTCAAATACATTGGCAAGTTACTGTTGTTGATGAGGCACAACGATTAAAGAATAAAAGTTCAAAATTAAATAAAACATTAACAGAAATACCATCATATCATAAAATATTATTAACTGGAACACCAATTCAAAATAATATTGATGAATTATGGACATTACTTAATTTTATTAATCCAGAGAACTTCCCATCTTTAGAAAATTTCCATGAAAAATTTGGTGATGCTAAAACCGCTGACGGAGTGAAGGCATTACAAACAGAAATTCAACCATATCTATTAAGAAGAGTTAAAGGAAATGTTGAAAAATCTATTCCACCTAAAGAAGAGATATTGATTGAAGTAGAGTTAACTTTAGTTCAAAAGAAATATTATCGTGCATTATATGATAAAAATAGAGAATTTTTAAATAAAGGGTGTGTTGGGTCTAATGTCCCTCATTTACAAAATTTGATGATCCAATTAAGAAAAGTTTGTAATCATCCATTTTTGATTCCTGGCGTTGAGGAAAAAGAAATTGCTAATCCAGATGACCCTGAGTCATTTGCCCAAGAGTTAATCAAGTCATCAGGTAAAATGGTGTTGTTAGATAAATTATTACCTAAATTGAATGCAGATGGACATAAAGTATTAATATTTAGTCAACTAAAAGGAGTGTTAGATATATTAGAAAAATATCTTAGTTATAAGAAATATACATATGAAAGACTTGATGGTAGTGTTCGGTCGAATGATAGACAAAATGCTATTGATAGATTTATGAAAGGAGAGCGATTTGTATTTTTGTTATGTACTAGAGCTGGTGGCATTGGTATTAATCTAAGTGAAGCTGATACAGTTATTATTTATGATTCTGATTGGAATCCACAAAATGATTTACAGGCACAAGCTAGATGTCATAGAATTGGTCAAAAGAAAGAAGTTAAAGTTTATAGGTTAGTCAGTAAAAATACATATGAACGATATATGTTTGAAAGGGCATCAATGAAACTTGGATTAGATCAAGCTATTTTATCAAATATTAATAATACGCCTGGGGAGGTTAATAAAGAAAGTGAAAAATTAAGTAAAGAAGATATTACTTCTTTATTAAAATATGGAGCATATGGTTTATTAAAAGATGATGATGATAAAGACAATAATTTCTGTGAAGAAGATATTGACCAAATTATGGAGAAAAGAACATCTAAAGTCGTATGGAAAGGAGACCAAGTTGCAGCTTCAAGTAGTTTTTCTAAGGCTACATTTGTTTCAGAAACAGGAGATGTTATTGACTTAAATGATGAACATTTTTGGGAGAAAGTTTTACCAAAATTAAGAACTCCTGGTCAATTATTTAGAGATTTAGAGAAAGCCTTTGAACTAAGTACTGAAGAATTACTTGTGTGGCTTGAACAAAATTTAGAAGAGTTTATCATTGAAATGAAACAACACATTGACTCTATAGTAGAAGCATACAATGAGGCTAAAGGACATATTCTTCCTGAAAGAGATACTATTGTAAAATGTATTGAACTATTACTTACAAAAGAAGATTTGATTACTGAAGATATTGTTGATGAATTAAAAACTACATTAGATACATTAAAATTCTCTAGAAAGAAAAGAAAGAATATTTTTATTCCTATTGATGGAGATGAAGAAGAATTAAAGAAAGGAAAACGATTAAAAAAAGCTGACATGCCAGAAGAAATAAAAAAGAAGTTTTATGAAGAAATTATAAATGTAGGAAGAGTAGACTTTACTGTTATTAGAGAGAAATCAGGTATTGGTATGGAATGGGAACAGGATGAATTAAGGAGTATGGCAATTATTTTCTTAAAACAATGTGCGGCTATGGCAGATAAAATTAGTGTAAATAAAAGATACTTCACACAATTATTAGAACAATATCATTTTGTTAAACGAGTAAGAAAAGGTGGAAGAGATGATATACTGAAACAGGGACATGTTTATTCATTAAGAGATGACTTTTCATGGATAGAAGAAAGTGTAAAGAAATGGGAGTCTAAATTAAAATATATGAATAGATTCCTTAAATTGATTGGTCCAGAAAAACAAATACCAGAATTACATTCTGGAGTTCATTTAACTAATTGGTGGACAGAGCAATGTGACCATGAGTTGTTAGTTGGATTTTTAAAATATGGATTTGAAAGTAGAGAATTAATACAAGAAGATGAATCGTTAATGTTCTATGGATTGTTAGAAAATCAATCAGAAAAAAGTGAGAAAAAAGAAGATGAAGAACCTAAGTCAATTCAAACATCATATGAACTTCCAACAAACCCTGTGTTGACTAAACAAATAAAACTATTAATTTCTCTGTTTGATAAAAAGAAGAAACAAGAAGTCCAAATGGAAGTAGAAGAAAATGAAATAGAAAAAGAAAATATCGAAGTAGAAAATAAAAAGTTGGAAGAAGAAAATAAAAATATAGAAGAAGAAAATAAAGTAGAGAATGAAAAAATGGAAGAAGAAAATAAAGTAGAGAATGAAAGAAATGAAGGTGATATAAAAAATCAGAGTGACGAAGAACAAAAACCAGATAACAATTAATTCAATTATTGTAGTTTTCTAAAGGAATTAATTTTTATAATTAAGTAAGTTAGTTCCAGTGTAGGATAACCATATTTGCTAAGGAAAATGTATGAGGATAAACAGTATCATTGAAGGACGTTGCTACAAAATCTGCTGGAACTGTAAATTGTTCTTTAACTTTTGGAGAGATAAATGAATTATCTTTAGAACCAATATAAAAACAACAATGAGCACCAAGAATCCAACTACTATTATCAATCGGGTACATTTTAATAGCATATCCTGTTTCTTTCTTTCTTGCAATTTGTGGTTCTGGTTGATGATTATTATTTAAACTAAATACAAAGAAATCATCAGGTTTTGCTTGAGTATATGCCCCATATGAATCATTTTCATTTACATCTAATATGGCTTTAGTATTTTGATAACAACCAAAAATATTATTGTGAGAATCTTGCACAATAATCATAACATGTTCTTTATTATCGATTTGGTTATATATCTTTGTACGGTCATAACCATCTACAGCATATTCAAAAACAAGATCAAAATGTTCTAAACCAGTCCATTTCTTTAAAACATTTAAAAATTCTTCATAAAACCTTCTTGATTTGCCATTTACAACTTGGTTTCTTCTCATCTCTACAGTAAGAACTTCAATACTCTCTTCTACTTGGTAAATTTTATTATTCATTTCTCTTACTTCTTTTTTTAGCTCGTTTAAGGTTTGAATTAACAAATTGAGTGTCTTTTCTGTTTCTGTCATTTTGTAATTGTAAGTTTAGTTAATTTGCAGTTTATATCTTCTCAGGTTTCAATCAATCAAAATCGTTTTATACAAAAAAATTAACAATGTATGATATTCATAACATAAAACAAACAAAAAATTTAAATAACTTTTGTTTTTTATTGAAGTGATTCAACCCATTCAGTTGCTCTTCCAAAAATTGCTTTTAAAACTCGAGCGAACAAACTTCGATGCTCTAGTTCTTTTCCTTCACCTGAACCAACCAATGCCTCTGGAGCAATGACTACAGACGCCAATAACAACAAGGGAACAGTCCATAAAGTGTAAATATTAATTAATAATAATCTCCAAAAATGCCATTCTTCAGACAAGAGGAAATGAATAGCAAACACTAAATGAGATAACACAGCAGCAACACACCCTCCAAAGAAAATAGGTGACTTATAACTAATATAAGGAACATCTTTGCATAACATAAAATAAATAGCTTGTGAAATAAGATTCACAATAACAACATACCATGGAATAAATCGAAGGCATAACAAGGTTTGGAGAATAGTTCCAATAATTAAGTATTTAATAATACTTCTTGCATGTGATGGTTTTTCTTCAACAAATAACGAAAAGACATAAAGACCTGCAGCTAGTGAAAGTCCAATAAATAGTAATAATACTATAAAAGCAGGACCATAACTTAAAAAAAAGTGAAGAAAAGATAAAAGTAAAGTGG